GTCAAACATTCATCATTTCTTTGTGGTATAACTTTCCAAAAACCTCTTTTGGAAATCTATAGCACAGCTCATTAACGCTAACTGTAGTCATCATACTGTAGAATAGCACGTGGGAAGTTCTTGCTCCTATCTCAGTGTAACTCAGTGCTTACTGCTGCTCAGTGATCTTTAATTGCTCTCATATTTCAATCCTGTCTCATTCTTAAGGTCTAGCTTCCTGGCCCAATGCTAAACTAGTCACCTTTCCTCTTTACTGTTATGAGTGCTGATGCTCCACTTCCTCAGGATCACATGAAACATTTACTGAGGGTTTTCAATGTCAGATTTTGTTTTCAAGAGTTTACTTTCTGTGTGTATGCCAGAAGTAGGGCTTGGACTCAGGATCTGGGTACTGTCCCTTAGCTTTTACACTCAAGGGTAGAACTCTACCACTTGAATCATACCTATGCTTTCGGGCTTTTTCTGTGTGTCTGGCTCTGAATTGTGATCCTCAGATCTCAGCCTCCTGAGTAGCTAGGATTACAAGTATGAGGTACCAGCACCTGGTTTTACCCCTAGACTTTTAATGAACAGACCTTGTTTTCCATAAGCCCTTTGGGAAGAATTGTTGCCAAGAAGCAGGCACCTCCAACAACTCTGGGGACAGTTCCTACAGAGGGATGGCCCTCTTACCACTGTGCCTGCTGTAAATGCCCCAGGACCACTGTGAAAATGGCACAGTTGATTCCTCTTCATTTCTGTTTTAACAGTCTGATCCCATAAATCCTTGGGGCTTGCATGGGCATTGCTGCCTCAGGCCTCGGAGTGACCATCACACTGTCCCACAAAACTGCCCAATGTGGCAGATGAGGAAGAGCCACTGAAGGATGGTGGGGGGCTGGTGTGCCCACTCTTTCTCTACCCACCCTCATAGAGGGTTGCTATACAAGATCTAAAATGTTCTTACAATCAACAAGGTCTATACCAGCAGTCTGAGATACAGGCTAGATATCCTATTGGCATAAGTCCCTGGTATGGACACCAGACCAGTTTCCTCAAAGGAAACAAATCACACCTAAAACCTTAGCAATTTCTAAAGAAGACCCAGAAGCACCAGACTCACCCCAACTCCCTGAATGGTCACTTACCTCCCCGACTGGCTAGTCTTCCTATTTCCTGTTATTGGTTTCCATTTGTCCCCAGGAAATTCCTGCAAAGCAAAATTCTGATAAGTTAGAGAGCTCTGAATGGCCAGGTGCGAGACTGTCCCTAGCCAGGCCACCCAATTGGTATAATTATTGTTCCAGGCCAACTAGGGAAATATGCACCTGGAAGGCTGCCTTTCTGTCGAGAAGATTGCTGAACTGCCGCAGGCATACAGACACCCAGAGAGCACTCAGGGACCTGGACACTGTAGGTTAAGAACACTGCATTTCCCTCTTGCTCCCCTCCCCTCCCAAACCATGGTTTAAAAAAAAACCAGTTTAGCATGTTTGCTGTTTGCTCTGGCTCTTGCCTGCACTGAAGGATGGAGGTCTTTTTGTTTGTTCTGCTGGATGAACCTGCTCATTCCTTCTACCTCTTTTGATACAGAAAGCATCTTCTTGGAAACTCTAGCCTGGAAGGGGCTTTGAGGACAGGACATTGTACTGTAGCAACCCTCTCCCTGGATGGATAGAGGGACATCATGCATGCCAGTCCCTCTATTCTGCAATGGCTCTTCCTCTTCTGCCCATGTCTGCTAGCAGGGCCTGAGGTGGCCTCATACATTTGCACCAGGTGCCATGGTCTCCGTGCTATACTCCCCACTCTGGGAATTTTTTATTTTTTTTTATTATGCCTAAGCAGCATTTTTCCTTTCAGGCCAAGCCAAACATATAATTTCTAAAAATGTCCCTGGGCTTCCTATTCTAACTACAAACTGAAAGCAAATTTGTTTTGAAGATCCTGATTTTGGGGGGAGGGGTTGGGCGGGCAGGGATGGTATGTATGTTCCAGAACTGGGGTTTGAACTCAAAGCCTTATATTCTCCCTTAACATCTTTCCTCAAGGCTGACCTTCTCCCACTTAAACCACACCTCTAATATCTGGCTTTTTTGCTAAGTTACCTGGAGATAAAGAGTTGCACAGATTTATGTGTGTGTGTGTGTGTGTGTGTGTGTGTGTGTGTGTGTGTGTGTAGGCTGACTTTGAACCAGGATCCTCAGATCTTAGCCTCATGAGTAGCTAGGATTAGAGGCATGCACCAACAGCACCCAGTTTAAGCCTCTGATTTCAGATCCAGCCCTCCATGTATAAACTCAGAGCTCAGCTCAATGGTAATGGACAGTTTTTCCTAAACCTCGCCAATCTTCCAAGTTGTTTTTCTCCTGTGCTGTTATTATTAGCTCTAGTCAAGATTTTATTGCCTTTCTCCCAGTATACTTCCCTTTGAGAGATCAGACACCTGTTGAAGGAGAATGAATATAGGACTTTGTGTAAATCATATTGGCTAAGACAGTTTTAGCTGTGTTATTTGAAACAAGTTCTGTTATTTCCCATCTGGCAAATAAGGATTGTGCTGTTTAGTCTTGCTGGATTACCAGCTGTGAGGATTAAATAAAATGTGGTGCAGCAAGAATACCCAGCCCAGTCCTTGGCATATATAGAAGGCTCTAGATGGATAAGGTTGCCACCGCCTGTAGTTCTGTCATTTGAGAGACTGAGGCAGGAAGATCACTTAAGCTCATGAGCTCAAGACCAGCATGAACAACATAGCAAAAACCTCATCTCAAAAAGATTTTTTAAAAGAAAGTTCTAGCTATGTACTGATATTTGCCATCAATGCGAGTCTAACTACTTTTACTTCAGACTACATCAAGGCCATTGTGAGATGTCCCTGCACAGATACCATAATTCATTTAGCCACAGCAAGAGCCAGACTTTCCTGTCCATGCACTTGTCAAGTCCTGTAGAAGTGCTCAAAAAAAAAAGCAGCGGCCAAACAAAACAAATCCTCTCTACCTCTTCAAAATCCAAGTATACCTCCCAGAACTGTGGCACTGTTTCTCTTAACCATTTAGATGTCTGTAAATGACCTGTGCCCTTTGAACCAAAGAGGCAGTAATCCCCATGGCTGGTTGCAGTTGGGGATCATTGTGGAACTTGCTGACCTAATTAAGTGCTAGGTGGCATCCTGCCACACTGGAGAGGGGACTGGGCTTTGCAATTGGCTTGTGAGTTGTTCTCTGTAGCTAAATGGCAGGACTACAAATCCTATACCCACCTTCACTAGCTGGGTGAACTCTGAACAGCCAGGTAGCAGACAGCCAGGTAGGACAACTTCTCTTTCTTTTAGTTCCCCCAGCTATATTAGCTATATTTGTGATCACATGAGCACCTGTTTCTTGGATACTTGAGGACTCAGAGTCAGTACATCTAAAACACCTGGAACTATATCTGATGTCCAATGGACACTCCCCACCCCCAATGTTAGTTACTATGATGTTCAAATCCTGACTCTGGCACTTGTAAGATGTGTATTCTGGGTGAGCTTCAGTTTTCTCCATTGTAAAATGAGGATCCTATCATAATTTATCTCATACAAATGCTACATGAACAAAATTGACAATGCATTCACTCATGAAACAAGTAAGATGTGTGTGCTGACTTCCATTCTCCTAGTATCACTGCATAAAAGCTGATTAGCGCTCAACCTTCTGTAGGGGCACAAGAAGCTGAATTTCAGTCTTACTTCTGACAGTCACCCACTACCATGGGAATTACAGCTGGAACACCTGCACACATGATGCATACTCTCCCCATATGTTGTGAGATTGGAGACAGCAGAGTTCTAATGGCAAGTGTAGAATGGGCATACAGTGGTTCTGAGCAGCCATCTACGTACCCAAAGACCTAGTAGTTCATCTAACAAGCAATTAAGAATTCAGTATATCCTTCCTTCACAAGCACACAAGGACACACATAGATAGGCACAGGCTCACCTGCATTGCTGCTGATTGCTGCTGCCTAGTAGTTGAAAGAAGTTTACAGTGAACACCCATATGCCCATCACTTAGATTCTACAGTTATCATTTTGCTATATTTACTTTATCATATATCTGTTTACCCTTCAATCCATCCACCAATTCATCTTAAATCCTTGATGCACTTCCAAGGTAAATTGCAATAATCTCATCTGCATAAATTTGAAAACAAATAAAATTGAAAAACTCCTTCAAAGCCTCAAACTAGCAAAGCTTATTCAAGAAGAAATAGATAACTGAAATAACTCTTTTTAGGAAGGGAGTTAAAACTTGTAGTTAAAAACTTGTGTGCACACATACACACATACACATACCACTTGAGGTCCAGTTGGCTTCAATAATGAACCAGATACTTTAAAAAGAAAATACCAGTTCTATACAAACTCTTTCTGAAAACAGAAGCAAAAATAATCTTTTCCAACTCATTCTTTAAAGTCAGTATTATCTAGATATAAAATGGGATGAAGATTTTACAATAAACTACAGACTAAAAACCCTGAACATCACAGACATAAAAATCCTCAACAAAATATTAACAAATCAAATCTAGTGACATAAAAAGGACACTATCTTTTGATCAAATGGCATTTATCTTGGCAATGCTTAATATGTTGTTCATTTCAAGAACCAATCAATATAATTCGCCATATGAACAGACAAAAAGAGAACATATCATTTTTCCTATATAGTTATTTGAATAGACAAATCTTTTGAAACTAATAAAAGAGTATTTACTCAATCTAATAAAGGACACAAACAAAAAACCCTATAGCTAACATCAAACTTAGTAGTAAAAAAATTAAAGAACAAAGTAATGTCTGCTGCCTGCCACTTCTTCTGAACTTGGTAGTAGAGGTCCTAGATAGTACATTTGGGCCTCTATCTACCCAAGGTAATGGCATAAAAAATGGAATGGAAGATATAAAATTCCTTCGAAAGCCAAGTATAGTAGAGCAGGCCTATAATCCCAGCTACTTGGAGGTGGAAACAGTATGATCAAAAGTTCAAGGCCAGCTTCAGACTAAGTTAGTGAGAACCTGTCAAAAACAAAATAAAAACCAAAGGACTAGAGGGAATGGCTCAAGTGGTAGAGTACTTGCCTAACAGGCAGAAGGCCCTGAACTCAATCTTCAACACCTCAAAAAAAATTCAATTCCTAGATGCCATGATGGCCTATAAAAAAAAATGTTTATAACCTATCGAAAGACTACTAGATTTAATTCACAAACTTAATAACAAATTTGCAAGACATAAAGCCAGTAAAGGCAGTTCAACTATATTTCTACATAATAGTAACAAAGAATTTTAATTTTACATTAAGAAAAAATTATTATAATAGCATCAGAAACTGTGAAACCTTAGAGATAAGTATAACAAAATATATTTAAAATTTATATGCTGAAAACTTTAAGTTGGTACATAACTGGCCTTTAGTAACAACTCATCATACATAGTAAATAATGGCTGATATTTGCTTAGAGTTTTTGAGCAAGTTTTTGAGCAAACTTTGCTTCCCACGATATGCACAACTATGAGGTACACATCTGTTGAATTTTGATGAAAACACTTGTATAAATTTAGTCCTTACCAAATTGTAGAATATACACTTATGTTCTTTTCCAGTCATTCACTGGGCCAGAACTTCCTGGCAAGCCAGCTCTCAATTTTTTTTTCCCATAGAAGAGCTTCTTATTCCCTAAGTTCCTTTTTCCCCAAGAATATATATTGAGGGGTTTCAAACATCTGGCACAGGAATTAATTATGTTTTGACCACAACAGCCTCAAAGTGTCACTACAGATACAATGGGAAAGAAATGAGGCAATGGGCACTCTACCACTTGAGCCACAACTCCATTTCTGGCTTTTAGCTGGTTAATTGGAAATAAGAGTCTCATGGAATTTCCTGTCTGGGCTGGCTTCAAATCATGATCCTCAGATCTCAGCCTCCTGAGTAGCTAGGATTACAGACATGAACCACCAGCTCCTCGAGAGTTCTTTTCATTTGAAGGAGTCAAAATTACTTTTGTCTAGCTCTAAAGATGCACAAGTATATTGCACTCAGTGGATGAGTGTCAGACCCAAGTTTACTAAGCCACTATCTTGTGGCATGAGCCACTCATGCCCACCTCATATTACACAAGTGTAATTATTATATTTTCAAATGATTGGCCTACCTTGTTCCTTACATAGAGAATAATGAAGCTCACTTCCCTCCCAAGATCCATGTGCTCACCTGCACTGTTGGCTTCCGGGGCTTCCAAGCATTGCCAGGTGGCAAGCTGCCATCCTCATGGGTACTGTGCTGAGAATTATGATAGCAAGATGCACACCGAATGCACTGGTGGTGGTGGCACCTGCAATTGTAGCAGTTAGGCATCATATTTCTCTTTAGCAAGGCAGGACATAGTTCTCCAGAACAATAAATGCAAGGGTCATGAACAACAGCTCCCTGGACACTGCAGGAGTAGGAACAGGTTCTGTGGTAATCAAAATCACCACAGCACAGTGGCTTGCAACACATTGTATTTTCTAGACTTTTGCTTGCAAAGCATTCTGAGTATGCAGGAGTTTCTGACTGAAGAGATGACATGGAATGATATGATTGGTCTGTGGCATGATATGGTTGATCTGTGGGATGATATGATTGGTCCATGGGATGGCGCCTCAATTCCCTGTAGCTGGAGCTCATTGACTGGAAGTTTTGATCTAAAGGTTTGGGTCTCTGAGTAAAAGTCTTGTTCCCATGAGTGGTTAAACCTGGCAAATGAGATGTAGATAAGGATTTGCTACTCTCTTCAAAGAAATTTCTTCTATCTGCAAAGGGCAGAAGGATGGCTTCCTCCCCAGCTTGGGCAGTAGTAACCTTCAATTCTTTGTTGTCACTTGGGCTGGAAGGGCCTTCCATGGTGAGTGCCACATGTGCCTGTGAGTTATGCTCTGGAGACCATCTCCAGTGACCACCACGGACCCCACAGTGAGCATTTGCTTTCTCAGAGTCTGAGGGAGATAAGTCAGGTGCTTTCCACCAGGTGTTCAGGCCCGAGGAAGACTGGCCAGGCCTTTGGCTAGGGCTTACTCGTTCCTCTAAGCTTAGCCTAGACTCGTGGCTCTCAGGGGCTTGGCTGAGGCATTCTGAAGATCTAGCCTTGAGCATCATGCTTCTGTTGAAGAGTTTCTCTCTAGGACTAGGAGGTTTTTTATATGAAGATAGAAGAGATGAGTTAGAGGCAGGGAGTGGAGGACTTTGTGGTGACTCCTGGGTCTCTTCCACTGGCTCCTTAGTGTCACACAACTGTGACAAGGGGCTCTTGCTTTTCTGGAGCTGGGCTTTCCTCCTCTGAATTTCATTCCTAAGGTTGGTAGCAAAACGCTCACTCTTCCTCCGGTTCTGGATTGAGCGGCCACGGTGAGCTCCACTCTTCTTACCTCCTGTTCTCCCACTCTCCTTGGGCTCACTGTCCCTTTCTTCACTTGCCCTGATGCTACCAGCTCCTTTAGTGGTTGAAGAGCAGTCTCTGGTTTGTTGAGTGAGAGAGCCAGAGGCAGAGAGCTGCTGGCTGGCCATTCCATTGCCTGTTCTGCTGGGGTCCAGGAAATCTCTTTCTGGACCATGTCCATCAGCCTCTCCATGTGAAGAACTGCTTTGGCTCTGGGGTTCTGAATCCAAAGGCTTATCATCCATTGGCTTTGTCTTTCTTTCTTTACTGGGCTGGTCATAGGCTTCTCCTATTGAGCCACATGGACCGTTTTTCCCTTTTTGGCTGCTGTGCAAAGGGGACAGAGTCCACTTATGCTCATCCTGCTCAGTTGCTAGCTCTGTCCCCTTGCTGCCCCTGCGATCAAAGTGTACATGCTGCAGGTGGGCTGCCAGAAGCTGTTCAGGGGCACTGTGGCGATGCCCTGTGAGTCCTGTAAGGTTTGGTAGGCCCCTCAAGGGAGAGGTGTCAGCAAGTTCTGCTGACCTCTCATTGCGCAGGCTGGGATCTCTGCTGGAAGTTTGGTCACAGGCTTTTGGGGAAGCCTCCATCAATAGATGCTCAGAGTCCTGCTCGCTAGATTCAGGAGTCTGGCTGAGCTCACAGTTCTGATGGCCTTCACCTGTCACTTGATCTTGCCTGCTGAGGCAGTGGAGTTGGTTAGGGTTCCTTGGGGACAGTACTGTCTCTAAGCTTGCTTTCTCCTTCAGCAGCAAGGAGTCTACAGGCTCAGAAGCCCTGCGCTGCTCTCCATTGAAGAGTTGGGCTCTGGAAGCCTGAAGGCTATCCCGCCTCACTGGAGGTTGTGGTGGACCTCTCACCACTTTGGAAGACCCTGAGTGATGACCTTCCTGTGGGCGGGATGACAGCTGAGAACTGGGAGTCAGGTGGCCCCCATTGGTGCGTTGGCTACTTCCTGAGGTCTCAGACACATTAGATCGGTCATTAGGAGCTTTACTTGGCCCTGGGCTTTGCGTGATACAGTCTGCAGAGACTGGCTCCTCTGGCCTGATAGAAAGAGCACAGTCAGAGGCATTTGAGCTGGCCGAGAAGGAGCTGTAAGCTGAATCTCGCTGGTTAGGGTACATGTTCTGGTCAATGGGTAAAAGGTGGCCCTCATAGGAGGCTTGGCCTGGTTGTTCTAGGCTCTCCATGCTGCCAATGGAGCTGCTCTTCTCAGTGCTACAGTGCCGGGACAGGGGACACCACTGCACACACACGTCACTGCAAGATACAGGGCAAATCCATTAGTTAGTCAAGCCATTTATCCCTTTCTCACCTTGGCCTACGTTGACATGTGAAAAGTCAGGACAACCCAAAGCTACCCATATCACAAATGCAAGGGCATTGAAACAGAAAGGAAGAAAGAGAAATAGGGAAGAGTTGGTCATTGGCCACCATAAGGATATGGCAAAACGGAGAACAAGATGACATATGGAAGAAGAATGGGAAAACAACCCAAAGACTAAAAGTAGGCAAATCCTATGGGAACTATGCACTATTTCTTTACCATCAACAAATCTGATCTTGCTTCTGGGCTGTCACTGGAGCATGTGATTCTCTGCTATGAGAAACAGCTACTGGGTGTCTTCATTGGTAAGGGGTTTTTATGATGCTGATTCAATTTTAGCCAGGCCATTTCAGAAATGAATGACTCTCAAATTTGAGTCTGCATCACAATCATGTGGGAGACTCATTACAACACAGGCCACTGGGCCTCATCCTAGAGTTTCAGGTCCAGGTAGATCCTGAGAATTTGCAGTACTAAAAATTTTCCAGGTGTTGGTGGGTCTGTTGACCCAGAGACCACACCTTTGAGAATCACTGATGTCAACAAAGCAAAGGGAAGTGACCGTGAACAGGTGATTTTCCCAAGTTTTTAACTAAAGGCCCAAGCTGGAAATTTAGGTGGTCCTCATATTATTCTATTCTATTCTTTCTACTCTCCTCTCCTTTTCTCTTTTGTCCCATCCCATCACCACTTCATATTCCATTCCATTCTTTTTTTGCAGTGCTGGAGATGGAACCCAGGGTATTGCACATGCTAGGCAATTGCTCCACCACTGAGTTACATCTCCAGCCCCTCCCATTCTTTTGTTGATGATAACATAGGTATTAGTTGAGAACCTACCATTTACCAGGCACTTCACAATATTCCATTTTAAGCCCACATGAGGAAATTATTATCTCTACTTAATAACTGAGAATACCAAAACTTAAAGAGGTTAGGTAAACAGACATGTTCACTAAGCTACTGAAGAAGCAGAGCTCCAGTTGGAAATCAGGCTTTCTGAATTTAGTGTCTTAGCTCTTCTCTGAGATCATCTTTTCCTTCCTTCCTTCTTTCTTTCTTTCCTTCTTTCTTTCTTTCTTTCTTTCTTTTTCTTTTTAATTTAAATTTTATTGTAAAGGTAATGTACAGAGGTGTTATAGTTGCTTAAGTCAGGTAACGAGTATATTTCTTTTTGAAATGTCACTCCCTCCCTCATTTTCTCCCACTTTCCTTCTCCCCACCCCATTCCCCTGACACAATTGTAAAGCTCATTTCCAACATAGTGTCTAGTGAGTATCACTGTTGCACTGGTTCGTTCTTGGTCCCACAGTTTCTGTAATTCCTCTTTCCTTCTCCTAATCAGACAAACTTATACACCAGACAGAGGGTACGGAAATTAAAAAAAACAAACAAACAGAGACAACAGGGAATAAACCAAAGGAAATCAAAGAAAGAAAAGAAATAACTACAAACAGTACATCTAAAATCTCTTGTTCTCATTTCTTGAAGAGACCATTTTTTGAATGGAAATAACAATAATATGTCTGTAAGAGGACTGCTGTGCAGAGCCTTTGTCATAAGCCAAGCACTGAACAAGGTTTTACTACATAGCAGTGGCAGCTGTCTTGATGGTTGTACTAGTTATCAATGTCCTTTCTATTGTTAGTGTTGATAGTATAGTAGCCTCTGCCGATCCATGCCTACCCCATCACCCACAGCAAAGCCAACTAGGGAGACCAAGGATCAAATGCAATCTTGAATGCTAAGTACCATTTCCCATACATGTAGCCCTACAGAGCCAAGTCATGTCAGTAACTCCCTTTGACTAGAACTCCAGAGGTTGCAGGCTGCTCTCAAGAAGGCCATAGCCTAGAAATCCATAGTTGAGCTGTGACAAATAGCCCACAGGACTCTCTGGTCAGCTTTCCTTAATTCTTTGCTCCCTGCCTCACTCCCAAGCCACTCTTCTCACTGTGCAAGAGGCTACGAATTCATCAGGTTCTTGTTGGCAAGGAAACATGCTACCCGCCCTTCTACCCTTCCTGCTGAAGAAACTACACCCCCACTCAAACAGAAGCCAAACTCAGTATGTGTTTCTGTGTATTCTTCTAAAGCATAATTGCCTCTGCCCCAACCCTCTGGGTTTCAATGCCAAATAAAGTCGCCAAGACTCCCCCCTTTATTTCACCAAGTGCCCTTGGAGAGGAAAGAGCTGGTTATGGAAGGAGAAAGGCAGCTGAGGACAGTGTGGTGGCCAGTACTGAGCACATCACAAAATTGTCTGCTGGGTGCTGATGGCTCATGCCTGTAATCCTAGGTACTTAGGAAGCTGAGATCTGAAGATCACAGTTCAAGGCCAATCTTCACAGAAAGTTCAAGAGAGTAAAATTCCCAATTAATCAGCAAAAAGCTGTGGGCTGTGGAGCTGTGGCTAAAGTGGTAGAGTGCTTGCCATGAGCATAAAAGCTCAAGGACAGTGCCCAGGCTCTGACTTAAAGCTCCAGGATTGCCCCTCTCCCAGCACAAGCATTGTCTGCCCTTTGGGTAGTTGTACTAACAACACACACCAGCAAGGTCCTTGAATTGAGTGATCTTTCTTTTTGGTAGAACCTGTTATTTGGAAAGGTCTCCATTTGGGGGTTTTGATTCTTCAAAGTGAATGATGTATATTTAATGGGGCCCCTAGGGAGTTACTATAGATGCAAAAGCCCACCAGAATGGAACTGTGTGGTTATTTCACACTAAATGAGAAGAAAAATCAAGGAATTAGGGTAAGAGACTGAAAACAAGCAGCTAGTGAAATAGGATAAGAAATGGAGTGCAGATGGCTCATGCCTGTAATCCTAGCTATTCAGAGGGGTGAGATCTGGAAGATTGTAGTTTGATAGGGCTGAGATCTGGAAGATTGTAGTTTGTTATCAGTCTGGGCAGAAAAGTCCATGAGACTTACCTCCAAAATAACCATCAAAAAGCTAGGCTAGAGGTTTGACTCAAGTGACAGAGTTAAAAGCAGTCTGAACAAGCAGGTGAGAGAGCTCAGAGCCCTCAGTTCGAACCACGGTACCAACAAAAACAAAATGGACAACAACAACAAGAACAAAAAGAAACAGGATGAGAAGGAGGTCTGTTTGGTGTCTTACAATCCAAGAGAGGTACTTTAAAAAAAACACAAAAACATCAAAACCCAGGTACCAGTGGCTCACACTTGCAATCCTAGCTACTCAGCAAGAAGTGATCTGAGGACTGAGATTCAAAGCCTGAGCAGGAAAGACCATGAGACTCTTATCTCCAATTAACCACCAGAAAAATCGAAAGTGGTGCTGTGGCTCAAAGTGGTAGAATGCTAGCTTTGAGCAAAACGAGCTCAGGGACAGTGCCCTGCCCCTGACTTCAAACTCCACAACTGACAAAAAAAAATCACCAAGAAAGAAAGTGATAAGCCCCAAATCACAGAGACCAGCACACTCAGACAAGGATCTGGGCATTCTGGACTCCCATGTCATTTTTCATTATATCACTCATATCTAAAGAATTCAATAGGGTCCCAAATAAGCAAGTATTGTCCTGGTTGTCCACCCTTTACCCACCTGGACAGGAGGATCCTAGACTCACCTTGCGTTGCAACCAGAATGCCAGGATAAGCTGAAGGCTTCAGAAGGGAAATGCATGGTGGTGGCCACTTCAGGGCATCCCTCCAGCAGCTTGGCCACATGCCATGAGTGCGGCCTACTGACAGGGGCGTTTCTCCTATAGCAAGAAAGCGACAGGAAGTTGGCTTAGGGAACCAGAGCTGAAATCACTTCCCAGGCAGCTTCCGCCCCACCCCCTCTTCCCCTTCAATGATGAAGAACATCTTGCAAGGAATCTGAGTTCTCTCCCTCAATTCCCAGTACTCAAACCCTTCGTCCTGGGAGAGTGGGATCCTAAACATACAAGATGCCACTTTCACAGGGCTATTTTGTTTATAAAAGGATCCTAAGTACATATAATAATGCAGGTCATATATTTGTGGCATACATGACAGTTGCTGACAAATAGGGTACCTACCCTCATTTCTCTTTGAGGGAAAAAAAAAACACCCAACAATGTGGTTACTCTTTCCAGAAGGAGGCAAGTATAGTTGTTAGAACAAATCAATACCAGGCTGTGAATTCTCCAATTTTGGCTCACTCATTCAATAAGTGTTTTTTGTGTGTTTACTATGTGCCACCTGCATGGAATCCTGGGGGTACAGATATGAACCAAGAACATTCTTTGGCCTTGAGAACTTAGCATTCATAAGAAGAGACAAAGCTAATTCAAATAAAGCAAGGTCAGGACACTGAGCCAGTGATGGGCACAGATGTGAGACACTTGAATTTGTAGGCAGAGTAGTAAACAGGAAGTCCCCACTCCATTGAGGAGAAATAGAACAAAATAGTGAATGGCACAGACCTAGGCAGATGGGGTAAATGGACTGCTCAGGAAGTCAGGGGTGAAGAAAGGAAACAGGTCTGAGGCCAGGGACTGAATGCAGTCAAGGATCTGTCTGTTATTACAGACCAAGGCCACAACTTTTGCATTGATTGGTTTATTATGCTACACTCATCTCTGCCCCTAAACATGAATAAATGCCATTCTTGCAAGTGGGGAAGAGCATGCAAGGGGCATGAAGAATGCAAGAGGCTAAAGTAATGGCTGAAGGGACAGAGAAATAGGGGAGGGAAGGTGTGGGGTTGAGATTGCAAGGAGAGAGGAAAGAGAGAACAGGGAGACAGCAAAGGCTGAAGGGGCAGGAAGACACCAGAGATAAGATGAGAAATGAAATGGAGAAAACTGAGAAAGATGGGAGAGAAATATTTTAGTAGACAGAAATGAATAGTATCTGCCCACCACCCCAGAGGAAACACAGATGAGCCCAGCTGTGCCAGGCTGAGGCCTAGAAAGGTGGTTCTGGGGAATTTGGCCTTCTAGGGACCCATGGATGAAGTGGTAACAGGCCAGATAGACAAGGTGCAAGAGGAAGGGAAGAGGAAGCTGCTTGTCAAATGTCAGAGCCACAGGTGAGCAGCAGTGGCTAAGATTTACAGGGAGGAAAACAAGGTGAGGCCCTACCTTTGCAATCACATTGTTCTGCTCTGGAACACAGAGTGCCCAGCGGAGAGTCTGGGGGTGCTAGAAGGACTTGAGGCTGCCACACAAAGCCTGGTTGCTGGGAGACTTCTCCAGGTGCTCTTACCCAGTAGTCATGTGATCAACGCCTATTTATCAAGCATCTTCTAGATATGGTACTGGCTATACTAGGTCTGTGGATCATGCATATCTAATATGTTCTGTGTTCCTAGGCATTGAAGCTATAGTGGGCAAAAGAGCACCTGTCCTATTTCAGGTTCTTCTTCCAGATCCAGGATTCCTGATGCTCTTCAGCATTGAGATATAAAATGTAGGTAGTCAGCTTTGTGACCAACTTCTAGAACTTCAACTCTCTAACCAAAGTTCTATTGTGCCAGTTCTAGGGATTGAACTCAGGGCCTGCGCACTGCTCCTGAGCCTCTTTGTGCTCAAGGCTAGTACTCTACTACTTGAGCCACAGAGCCACTTCTGGGTATTTTGAGTCATTTATTGGAGATAAGAGTCCCACAGGGACTTTTCTGCTGGGGTTGGCTTCAAACAATGATCCTCAGATTTTAGCCTCCTGAGTAGCTAGGGTTACAGGTGTGGGACACCAGCACCTGGCTTTTGTTGTCATAGAAATTAGAACATAAAGATATACAAATTAATAATTAAAATAAATAAAATATTTCAAAAATAATATCATTCAGGTGCTGGTGGACCACACCTGTAATTTTAGCTACTCAGGTGGCTGAGATCTGAGGGTTACAGTTTGAAGGTCGCCTGGGCAGGAAAATAGAACTATCATCTCTAATTAACTCCAAAAAATGCCAGAAGTGTAGCTGTGGCTCAAGTGGTAGAGAGCTATCCTTGAGCATAAAAGCTCAGGGACAGCGCCCAGGCCAAGTTCAGGCCCTAGGACCAATACACACACACACAAAAAACAAAACAAAAAAATCCTAATATCTGTGTCTATGGAATTGTTGAAAGATCGTATGAGACAATATGTGTCTCATTTGAAGGCTTAAACCTGGTGCTGGTCAGATCTCAACCAGAAAGGGTCATTACTATGACTGTCTTCTCTACTTACAATGGACCCTCCAGCCTATTCTTACGGTGCTGCTCAAGTGTTATCCACTGTAGGTAGCTTGCCCTGAACAAGTTAGCTGTCAACAGAGTCCATAATAACATGGTATTTTACATTGTTTGTCATCACATCATGTATATTAGCTTTATAATATCAACTACGTCAAGCTCATAGGCAGAATGATATGAAAACAGCTAAGACAGATCTAGGTTCAAGTCCTAACTCTACCATTTTAGATATGTGATTCTATTGAGCCACTTAAACCAGCTGAGCTTCAGTTTTCTCACCTAAGAAAGGGAATAACCATTCTTAATTGGCTAGGTTATTGTACGGATTAGAGAGAAATTTTCCAAGCATCTGAGACAAGGTCTGCTGCATAGCAAGCGGTCAGTAATTGGCAGGCACTTCAGTGGCAGTTATTAGCCCAAATGCATCCTTTTAGATGGCTCAAAGGAGTCTGACCATCCACTATCAAAACTGTACTATGCTACAACATTCTGCTTGCCACAGTTTTGAGAGGTCACTTTATAAAGGCCCTTCACTCTCTAGGGTTATGCCGGGACTAGGAAACCATCTCAAAGAAGACTGAGGAAGGTGAGAAGGGCAGTGGGAGCTTTGGAGATACTTGGAACAAATGAAAAGGTGGGGAGGATGAAAATCCTAGTAGAGAAAATGAGGCAGAGAGAGGATAAAGAGGGGAGGGGAGATCCTTCTAACCCTAGTTTGGGAAAGAAAAGAAACTCTCTGTAGGATCTAGTACTTTAACATGTTCCTATTCCTGAGTTGATATAGACCCAGGATTCCACATTTCAAATTCAATCCTAGTGTCCAAAATTCTGATTGTATGACCTTGGGCAAGTCATTCCTCTGAGTTGCAGATTCTCCTTGGGAAGGATTATTGAGCACCAAACCCACAGTCTTATGCATGCTGAGCAAGCACTATACCACTGAGGAGATTCTCTCAGCTCCTTGAGTTATAGATTATCTGTAAAACAGGGAAGATGACCACCTCTTCCTCATGAATTATGGCCTGGATTAAATGCAATCAGTGCCACATGTGGCATCAACTGGCAAAGTGCTTGATCACTACTCTATTAACAAAACACCCAAACTCAGATAGGGGCCAGTGGCTCATGCCTGTAATCCTAACTATTCAGGAGGCTGAGATCTGAGAATTATGGTTCAAAGCCATCCCAGTCAGGAAAGTCTGTCAGACTCCTATCTCCAATTAACCAGCAAAAATGAGGAGAGCTGTGTTCAATTTGTATAGTATTAGACTCAAGCAAAAAAAGCTCAGGGACACCATCCACTGCCTGAGTTCAAGCCCCAACACCAGCCCACATACACACGCGCATGCACGCACACACGCATGCGTGCATGTGCACACACACACACACACACACACACACACACACACACACACACCAAAAATACCCAAACTCAATAGGGGCTGAAGATTTAAGGTATGCCAGGCACTAAATATTTTATATACATTAGCTGATTTAATCCTTACTCCATCCTTATTTGTAGGAGCTGTTATTGCCCCCAATTTACAGATAAAGAAATAGTACAGAAAGATTAACTAAGTTGCCAAGAGCATACAGTTAAAAACCAATGAAATGGCAATCAGATTTGCCAGCTCTTCCTAGGATACCACACAACCCTTCCTCCCCAAAGGGATCTATCTCAAAAAACTTATAGACCTGAAGCTTCTTATAGCCATTACCTTAAGAAGTATATAAAAAAGGGAAGTCTCAGTAGTCTTGGACCTGAAATCACCTCCTCTTTAGACAAGGAGGAAGGGAGATGGCGGGGGATGGAGGGGGAGACTGGACAGATAAATACAAAGGTGAAAAACATCACATCCACCAACCCTGCAGCCCAGACCCCAAATATGAGAGCAACGACACCAACCCTTGCCTTTTCTCCTAAGGCTGGCTCAGGCACTATCACTGAACACACTTTACATTCATTACCCCCAAAAGCCTTTCTTAGAAAGGAGAAACACAAAGATATTAAAGAAAAAAAACAGGATGAGGAAGAAGTATAGTAGCCATGACAGCCACAATGACTGACTGTACCTACCATAGAAGTTTTCCAGGGTGGAGAGATGGCTTAGGAGAGAATGAGGTATCCAGCTAGCTCACACTCTCTGACAACCCTGTAGTCAACGTCTTCTCTTAGCTGGGACCCATCTGCCCTCTAGTTAAGACCTCCTGAGTGAGGGACTATCCATCCAAGGGACTCAGGATCAGTCAAGTCCCATTTCCAAGAATAGGATAAAGTAGCACTGGAGGCAAGGTATGTCATCAGCCTGGCTGGGCCTGGATGTAGCCACAGCCTTACAGATTGGAAGCCAGTGGCAAAAGGTGGATAGGAGTGAAGACAGACGCTGCTCCAGGGACCAGCCAGAACCCTGGTGGCAAAGGGAAGAATGAAAGGCAGTTCCAACAGCATAAACAGCCCCCCTGTTCCTGACTCCCACCTCTTCTGAGCCCTGGCCCACCCCCTCTGAGCCCTGGCCCACCCCCTCCATGGCTCAGAGGCCAATAAGGAAACTGGGCCCCCA